AAAAAAAAAAAAAAAAAAAGATGGGAAGATGTCTCGTCTGGGCCACAACTCAGTTCCCAACCTTGAGGGAGCCTGACTCCCAACCCCAAAGACCCAGGCCGGGTATGAGAGTAAAATCCACAAGCCCAAGGGCAACAGGTGGGTCGCTTTAGGAAGTAACCCCAGAGAAGAGGTGAAAGATATGCACCGGATCCACAGGAAGGTGGTGATCACCACCAAAGACTCAGAAGGCAAGGTGACTTATTGAGGTTAGGCAGCTAGTAAGAGTCGCTTCCGGAACTGGATCCCGAGGCCGTCAGAATACAAGCCTCTATGTGCTGGCAAGGACACTCCATCCTCCAAAGAATCCTCCAAAGGGTATCAGGGATTTGGAGATCCAGGTGATGGACTGCCCCAGCCTTACCTTCTATTCCGTCCACCTGTTTGTTGTCCAATTTGTCAGCAGCCCCGCTGGGAAGGATGGGGGGCTGGAAATAGCTCAGCAGCTGGACTCCTTCTACACCTCCCTCCACCCTGCCTTACCTCTACAAAGAGGCAGGTGTTGGGTTTTCATTGTAATCCCTTCCATATGGAGAGCACTTTGGTGTTTTACCAGCTGCTTGTTAACCCATCCCTGAATTTGCTCCTCATTTCTTTTTTTAATTTTTTTTTCAACTTTTATTTATTTTTGGGACAGAGAGAGACAGAGCATGGACGGGGGAGGGGCAGAGAGAGAGGGAGACACAGAATCGGAAACAGGCTCCAGGCTCCGAGCCATCAGCCCAGAGCCTGACGCGGGGCTCGAACTCCCGGACCGCGAGATCGTGACCTGGCTGAAGTCGGACGCTTAACCGACTGCGCCACCCAGGCGCCCCTTGCTCCTCATTTCTTGTGAGGCTTATTGCCTTATGAAATAGCAGGGCCAGTATATTAGCTCCATTTTACTAGTGGGAAAACTGAGGCTCATAGAGAAGGGAATCATGATAGTGTCCAGGAGACTGCCAGAGCCTCCCATCCCAATCCAGCCTCCTGATTTTGTTTTTAAGAGAGGGAGAGCGCGCAAGTGAACGAGGGGCAGAGAGAGTGCGTGCGTGCCAAAGAGAGTGAGAGAGAAACGGGGCTCACCCAAAGAGGGGCTCATGTTTACCCGAAGTGGGGCTCGAACTTACCTGATGTGGAACTTGAACTCAAGAATGGTGAGATCATGACCTGGGCCAAAGTCAAATGCTTAACGATTGAGCCACCCAGGTGCCCCCAGCCTCCTGTTTGTTTTTGTTTTTGTTTTTATCTCTAGGTCTTGGGCAGAGCTAGGGCAAACACAGGCCATTCTGAGCCCAGAGCTCAGGGCAGTCCCTTTCCAGAAGCCTATCTGTCCTTCCCATCCTGTCCCAGAAAGCCCCATTATCTTAGGGGAGACCTTTATTCACTTTCCTAAGACTTCCTGTCGTCCACTCCATGCCTTCTGGTGGCTCCAGAGCCCATGATGACACGGTATACCCTGAGTGAACTCACAGCTGGAGAGAAGAGTCATGTTAACAAACAAGTTCCTCATTAGAGCGAAGCCCAACCAGTGTTCCTCTCCAGAGTCTCTGGAATTCATTCTCTCTTCTCCAGCCCCACTGCCCTGTCCTAGCGGGTCCTCGGCATCTCTGACCTCCTCCTTGCCTTCAGAGCTTCTGTCCTGGCCTTTCACCCACCCCCATGAAACACCTAGGGATCTTTCCAGAGAGCCAATAGCAGAGGGTGGCCAGGAGCTCACAATGGTGATCAGGACTGAGGAACAACCCTGCCGGGCCTGGGAAAGCTCTCACATCTCTCCTCTGTAGAGTGGGGACCGTGCCTACTTCACAAAGTGGCTGGAAAGACCTTTGTTGTCCCTTCTAGAGACCCCATGCCCTAGTGCGTGCCCTGTACTTGTATGCTTCCTGCCTTTGAACAGGCTCTTCACTTAAACGCCACCTTCTCCAGCTCCTAAAGATCATCCTTCAAGGCTCTGTTCACATCAAATGTCGCTGCCTCCCTGAAGCCTGAACTGACACACCTCCAAGCAGCTGAAACCACTCCTTCCTCTTGAATGGATGGTGTCTTGGCCAAGGAAGAGAGCCAGGATTCAAAGCGAGAACTGTCTGAATTGTCAGGTCCCACCCAGCTTCCCTCTGGCCTCTGTGCAGCCTGAACAAACAGGTGAGGGCAGCACCACCAAGCTCTCCCACCCTTTCTCTGGGCTGAGAAGTCCAACCTAGGTGCCTGTGGGTTACTCCACCGCCAGGCAGCCTCTGCCTTCCAGATTATGATGTAACAGTTGCACAACTCACAGATATTTTTGAAAGAAACTGTCAATTTCCTCTCCTGGGCACTGCCGGGGGCTGTGGCCTCCATCCCACCCAGAGTCCCCAACGGCCCCAGGACTCTAGAACCCAAATATAGTGCAGGGTTGTTGAAGTGATAAACGAAAACGCAAGACTGTAAAGTGACCCAGTTTTATTTTGGTTTTGGAGGCCAGGGGGGGCATTGCCCCACTGTGCAGGGATCAGGGCTGTACAATCTTCTCCTCCCCAAGGCGGGGGCCCAGGCAGCAGGGTGGAGGCCCGGTGGATTGGCGGCTCCAGGGACCCAGTGACCGCAGTAGGTTGCACAAGGAGAGAAGGGGCATCAGGCAAGCAGCCTGGAATGGCTCAGATTGGGGGGTGGGGTAGAGGAGAATCCGAGAGGACAGAGAATCCAAGAACCGGGAGTCCGAAAGGGGGTCCGGTCCCCTTCACTTTACCGCCGAGGCTCCGGGACAGAGAGGGGGAGCTAAACTGTCATCCTGCAGGAGGCAGGGCCTGGAGTGAGGCCAGGCGTCCCAGCCCGGCGTCAGGCTCTGTGCGCTAACCCGCTGCCTCCACCCTCACGGAGGGTGCGCGCGGGGCCCAGGCGCAGGGTGCGGACTCCGGCGGGCAGTCAGATCCCCTTCTCCTCTCGGGCGCGCCAGGCAGGCGCCCGACCGCATTCAGCAGCTCACCGAGCCGGCGGGTGGCGCCGACCCCAAGTCCGAGAAGCAGTCGAACTCGCTCTGGCCCAGGAAGAGCTCGGGCAGCTCGCGCACGCGGTGCAGCCCGAGCTCCAGCTCCAGCGACGTCAGCGCCTCCTCGTCGATGAGTTCGGCGTCCATGCAGCCCAGGGCGTGCGCGGGCGGCGGTGGGGCCGGGGCGCCGGGCGCCGGCTGCAGGCACTGGGGCCCTCCCGGGACGCCGGGGGGCGCGGTCGCGCGGCCCGGGTACAGCGTCGCCACCGGCTGCAAGTGCGCGCTGCCGGCGGCCGGCGGTGGCACGGCCGGAAAGGGCTGGAAGGCAGGCGGCGGCCCGAAGGGCCCGTACGCCAGGGCCCCGGGTGGGGGCGGCGGCGGCGGGCCCAGCGGAGTCCCCCGCGGCCGCAAGCCGCTGTCCAGGCCCGGGCCCGCGTACGGCTGCAGCGTCCGGAGCGCGTGGGGGCCGTGGGAGGGCGCGCCGGGCGGCGGCCTCTGCACCAGGCGGTAGCCCTCGGCGAGCATCAGGTGGTCGGCCATGACGGCGGGCCGGATGCCTGCAGGGGCGGGGGGCGGATGGTCAGCGCGGGCGTCCCTCGGTCCCGGCCAGCTCTTCCTCAGCGGCGAGGGATCCGCGTCCCGTGCCCTCACCGCAGCCCGGACAGGCCAAGGAAAACGGCACTCGACCCGTGCTACTCTCCAGCCCAGGGCGCACCGAACTCAGAGGTCCCGCGCGCCCCGTGGTCTCAGCTCTCGGCAGCTAGAACACCGCACACCCGCAGGTTCGGGCTCTGAGACCTCCGCGCCGCGCCCCCAGAGTCAGTATCATCTTATACCAGAGGCGGAGCTTCCCCGCCCCCAGGCGCTCATTGGCTGAATGGGACGCTCCTGGGCCGGCCTGTCCCCCTCCTCCAGGTTTCAGCCCCGCCTCTCCCGGAGCTCCGCCCTTTGGGCCCGAGGCTGTGCCTTCAGGCTTAGAGAGCTGTCCTGGGGAGGGGTGTTTTGCACTTTTCAAGGGGTTTGGGCTGTCTCCTGCTCAGCCTGGGACTGGCTGGGGCCAAGCTCAAATTGACCGGAAGGTGGGTTGGGAAGGGCCAAAGGTTTGGGTCCCCAGAGCTGTAGGATCACAAGCTCAACTTCTTAATTTTCCAGATGGAAACCGAAGCTCAGCGGTGGAAAGGATTTCCTAGGAATACACACCAAAGTCTTAACAGGATCGAGACATGCCTTTGTGATTGCCATCTCTACACAGGACACATGCACTTTAGCGGTGCAGGGTCCCCCGGAAAGTTAACTGCTTGTCCCCATGACCCCAGGGGAGCCCGAGGCTCCCTCACGGGCTCCCGCTTACTTGTCGGTGGAAGCATGTACTGGGTTGTTATTAAAGTAATTTATAGGCACGTCTCTTGAAGGACTTGTATCCTCAGCATTTGGCCCAGAGCCTGGCTCAGAACAGGCTTTTAGTAAAGGTTGGGTGAAAGAACAAATGATCAAATGAATTGAAACTCATTCACCTGAGCTTCAGTTTCTTCATCTGCAAAATGGGAGCAACGGCAGCACTGACCCTACTGAGTTGTCCTGAGGGTTAAATAAAGCAGGGCATGTATAGTGCCTGGCACATAGTAGGTGCTCAAAAATGTATCTCAAATGAATGAAAGGCTGGATTTAGTTCTGTCCCTAGAGATCTTCAGAGTCGGGGATCTTGCACCTTCCCCTGATAGACTGGTAACAACTGGGATGTTTAGAGTGCTTTACATTCCACAAGCATCTTTTTTTTTTTTTTTTTTAATTTATTTTGAGAGAGAGAGAGGAAGCAGGAGGGGCAGAGAGACAGGAGAGTGAGAATCTCAAGCAGACTCCACACTGTGAGTGCAGAGCGCAACGCGGGGCTTGATCATGACAGTTCGTGAGATCACGACTGAGCTGATATCAAGAGTTGGACGCTTTACTGACTGAGCCACCCAGGCGTCCCCCGACAATCATCTTAATGGGGGCAGGGCATGGATTAGCAGCCCCATTTTGCAGATAAGGAGACTGAGGCACACAGAGAAGTGGGCATCCTGGGGTCCTGCACAACCAGAGCTAGCATGTGAATGCCTGTGTCCTTAAAGCATCTGGAGTCTCTCCAGGTGGCCAGGAGAGAGCCACCTGAACCTTGCCCTTCACTTCTTTGCCACTCTGCCCCTCCCTTCTTTGGCTCTTCTTCCCTGGTAGTGTCCTTGGGACTTCCTGGAACTTGGGTTTATCCAGCTGATGCAGAGGGGAGAACCTCAGAAGCCCAAGTTTTAGTCATATCCCCACCACTGGCAAGCACTGTGACAGCTGGGGGTTATGAGGGGGTTGTCCCTTGATTCCCAGGGCCTCGGTTTTCTGCTCAGTGAAAGGGAGATTCTAATCCCTGCCTGGTCACCCTGAGAGCTTGTGGCAAGGTCACTAGTGACGATGGGTGTGATCATGTTTTATGCCAAGTATAAAAGCTGCACAGTGGGGTTGATTCTCCTGAAACTCTCCAATTAATGCTTCACATAGAAACTCCTAAGGCTGGCTGCACCTGGGACTCACCTGGACATGTGTATCAAGTGGGGGAAGGTGGGAGGGCTTTTGAAAAATACTAAACCTCTGCCCCCCACCTAAACCTCCTGACTTAGACTCTGTGAGGGTATTTTTGAGTCACAAGAATTTGTGTTTTCAAAGAGCCATCCTGTCATTCTGGCCTAGTTGATCCAAGGATGCTAACATTTGGGAGCCATTGTGCCACTAAACAGTTTTCTCAAAAAAACAAATAAATAACGTGTGTGTGTGAATAATGTTAAAAAGCCCTTTAATGTGGTCAACAAATATTTATTGGGCACCCACTCTGTGCCAGACATTGATCGCCTAGTGGTATTGAAGCTTTGGGGATCAAGTAATTCTTTTTATTTTTTGGATTTATTTTTGAGAGAGAGACAGCGTGCGCAGGACAGGGGTAGAGAGAGAGGGAGACACAGAATCCGAAGCAGGCTCCAGGCTGTGAGCTGCCAGCATAGAGCCTCAAGCGGGTCTCGAACTCACGAACCGCGAGATCATGACCTGAGCCTACGTCGGATGCTTAACCGACTGAGCCACCTGGTGCCCCTCAAGTAATTCTTTGAGCATCTAACGAAAGCTACAGACATCATGGCCACAAACTGTTGTGTATGAATGTGCAGGGCAGCAGATCTCTGGGGGCATCCATGAGGTCATCAGGGGTTCATGGAGTTTGGTTACTTGGGGACATGTAGGAAAGTGTAAATAAGGAAAATAATCATCCAGATGTTAGAAAGTGGGAGAAAAAAGTGGGAAAAAGAAAGAAAAATAGAGTTGAGAAGAGATTGGGGTACAGGGGCAGCTTGTAGTATTGAACAGGACGGTGATTGTAGGTCTCACTGTGACATTTGGGCAAAGACTTGTGGGATCTGGGACAAGAGCCATACCAACAGAGGGGACAAATGCAATGTGCCAGGGACAGAGGCATTACTGCCACCCAGGACCTGTCCCAGACCAGAATCAGTTTCTGAATCAGAAACTGGGCTGGGGCTCAGACAGCGGCATTTTCATAAGTCCTGTGGGTGGTTCTGAGCCCCTATGTTAGGGTAAAGCCTCACGGTAGGAGTGAGTGACAGTCAGGAGGGCGTGTGGCTGCAGCAGAGGGAGCTTGGGGTTGGAGGAGGTCAGAGGGAGGAGGGAGGAAGATGACATGGGGCTTGTAAGGGCTTTGTTAGGTCTCATAAGGACTTTGCAGATGAGTAACATGATCTAACTTGGCCTGAGAAGCACTGCTCTCGGTGGATCTCATTTGTTCCCGGCATTTCCGTGAACTGCTTCCTCGCTCTGCCTCGGACTGCCCAGGCACCTTCATTTCTCGGGGCTCCTGCTAATCCTGCTGCCTGGAATTCTCTTCCCCGAGACACCCACATGAGTCACTCGTTTGCTGTTTTTGGATCTCCATCTAAGAGTCAGCCCCTCATGTGCCTGGGTGGCTCACTCGGTCTGTTAAGTGACCGACTCTTGATTTCGGCTAAGGTCATGATCTCGTGGTTCGTGAGATGGAGCCCCACGTCAGCACGGAGCCTGCTTGGGATCCTCTCTCTCCCTCTCTCTGCCCCTCTGCCCTCAAAATAAACATTTTTAAAGATTTTAAAATAAAAATAAAGACCGGCCCCTCATAGAGACCTTCCCAGGTCACCCTCTGTCCCTCTCTATCCCCTCACCCTGTTCTGCTTTGCTGCTCAGTGCCTCCTACCACTTGGCTTTATGCCAAAGAATGCCTCCCCGCAAGCAGGTCAGCTCCCTGAGAGCCCTTGATTCGCTTGTTCTGCACAGTACTTCTGAGGCCCCAGAGCAGTACTTAGAAAAGACTTAAATATTTGTTGAGTGATGAGGCAGAGCGGACGTTATTGTCCTTCTTGACAAAGAAGGAAACTGAGGCCCAGAAAACCACTCAGGAGGTTGGCCGAGGTCACAAGGTGTGTGGGGGGGG